ATATACATACACACACATATACATACATACATACATACATACACACATACACACACAACACACACACACACTTTACACACAGCAACACTAATTACCTCCGCCAAGGAGGTTATGTTTTTGACGGCGTTGGTTTGTTGGTTAGTTAGTTTGTTAGCAGCCTAGCTCAAAAAGTGCTGGCCGGATTTCATCGAATTTTTGGGGACAAGTCAAAAAGGGTCTAACATAGAACTCATTAAATTTTGTGACATTCTGAATTACCGTCGGGTTATTATTATTACTATCATTAATTAATCAATAAAGTACACAAATCTACGGTAAACGTGTACCACATTTCGACATTCCGAATTACCGTCTGGACGCAGCAGCGGTGTAAGTACATTATATACGCACCTTGGCGGAGGTCTGCACTCTCTGAGTGCTTTTCTAGTTATTTTTGTTTTTTTTCATTATTAAAGATATATATATTTTATTGTTCATTGAGTCACTTTTCTTAGTTGCATTAGTACTCTGTTTCACTTTACAAGTTTCAGAAAGTATTTCAATCCAAAATTTAACTCATTTTGGTATTCCACAGACGGCCCTGAATGGCTGCGGGACAGAGGGACAGAAGTCCTTGTACAGAAGTCTGAAAAGCGTCAGATACGAAAACGTCGAAGCGGTAAAGTTTTTATTTGCTTACATGTTTGTGTGTCTGTATGTATCTATATACATATATATGTATAAATATGTATATCTGTATATATATGAATATCTGTGTATATAAGTATATCTGTATATATATGTATATCTGTATATATGTGTATATCTGTATATATATATCTGTCCTCGCCAAAGCGCGGCGAGCCAGTGATTCGGGCTGATGTCCCCTACTCACGCGCTCAAAGTCGGCTCGCCGCCTTTGTTTGCTAGTTTGTTTTTTTTTGGTTTGTACATCCGGTGTCATTGAGATATATATGTGTGTATATACGTGTATATGTGTGTGTGTATATATGTATATGTATATGCATATGTATATGTATATTTATATGTATATACATATGTATATGTATATACATATGTATATGTATATACATATGTATATGTATATACATATGTATATGTATATACATGTATATATGTATCTGTATATACATGTATATATGTATCTGTATATATATGTATATAATTGTATATACATGTATATGCATATACATATATGTATATACATATATATGCTTATACATATATGTATATACATATATATGTATATACGTATATGTATATACATATATATTCATATACATTTATATGTATATACATATATTTGTAAACACATATGTATATGCATATGTATACATATATATGTATATAAATATATACATATATATGTATATACATATATATATATATATATATATATATATATACATATATATATGTATATACCGCGATAGCTCAGTGGTTAGAGCACTGGACTCCGACCCTCGTGGTCCCAGGTTCAATTCCCCGTCGCGGCGGTCGTAAAAATGCCTGCGCACTGACTGCTTGTTCGAGCCCGAGAAAACGACATACATATATACATACATGTACATACATATATATGTATATACAAACATATATATATATATATATATATATATATGTATATATATATATATATATGTATATATATATATATATATATATATATATATATATATATATATATATATATATATATATATATATACATGAATGAGGAAAACACTCTACCGTGTTGATACTATGAGCATGGAATCCAGGTGGATTCCGAAACTGTCGTCTCACTTTCATTTTCAATAAAGCTAGTTTTTTACATTATGGGTTTTTCTACCATATATATACATATATATGTATATACATAGATATACATATATAAGTATATACATATATATACATATATATGTATATACATATGTAAATACATATACATTTATATGAAAATACATATATACATATATATGCATATACATATATATACATATATATGCATATACATATATATACATATATATGTATATACATATACATATATACGTATGTATTATATATGTATATACACATATGTATATACACATATATGTATATACATATATATGTATATACCTATATATGTATATACATATATATATATATATATATATATATATATATATATATATATATATACATATATCTATGTATATACATATATCTATGTATATACATATATCTATGTATATACATATATCTATGTATATACATATATCTATGTATATACATATATCTATGTATATACATATATCTATGTATATACATATATCTATGTATATACATATATCTATGTATATACATATATCTATGTATATACATATATCTATGTATATACATATATCTATGTATATACATATATCTATGTATATACATATATATATGTATATACATATGTATATTTATATGTATAAATATGTATATCTGTATATATGTGTATATCTGTATATATATGTATATACACATATATGTG